TGGGCAGAGGCAATAATTAGATTTTAGAAGAAAAACTTGTGGATTCATGCCAGTAAGTCCACAGGTGGTCTTAGACCTTGCAGTCTGGGGGTACCTGAAATAGCCCTAATGCTTGACCTACACGTGCATCTTCAGGCACCTGTACCAAGCAGAAGCTCTGCTGGAGTCAGAGGACAAAGTCCACCACCTAGTGCATCCTGCACGTGCTGCATCCCCAGGAGATGCACTCACATGCCAAAGTTGTCAGATGAAATCATGATCCTGCCCAGAGTGGGCAATGAGGAAGGTGACCATTAAATAACCAGCTGCAGTGGGGTCCTGCTTCCTCGCTCCCATCAGACAGCTTCTGACTGATGACCAAAGTGTGGACGTTCGGGGTATTTTCTTTCTTAGATTTTAGATTATTTTTTTTTCTTACATTGGGTTTGTAAGAACCTGGTTCTGGATCCTGCTAAGCTTTTAGCTTCAGCATCAGCAGGGACAAGTTTTGCAGATTCATTTGTATTTCTGCCTTTCAGATGCATACACCGTCTCCATTGCCTGGGACTTTGACTAAAAGCAAGACCCCTCTGCTCTGCCCTGCTTATGGGCTGCTTTTGCACCTGCCTAGCGTGGCTTTTTTCATTTCTCTTGTCTTTTCCTCTGAAACAGCCCCAGCCCAACGTGTTTCAAGAGGAGCAGGCAGCAAGGGAGATATGATGCGGGCTTGTGCCTTCAGACCCACACAACATGCAAAAGCATCACAGTATTTTCAGCCAAGGATACGCAAAGTCACATTCAGCTGCCATGATGTTTAACCTCCTTTTAGGACTGTCCCTACGCAGCACACAAAAAAAAAGTCCTTTTTCTTTTTTTTTTTTTTTTATTAAAATAACCTGTCCCTGAATCCTTGTTTCAGAAATAATTCCAGCCAGTGCTGAACCTGCTCCCGCCTGGGCAGCTCAAGTCAGCTCCTGCAATGGAAATCCCCTCTCCTTTTCCAGTACTTCATTTTGTCTGCTCTGAAGTCACCTGCCTTTGGTAGATTCCTCCAAAATCCCCAAATCTAAGCCCTCTCCAGATCACTGCCGACACGCAATTACAACTCTCCGCAGCCACACTGGCCGGTCGCGGCACCACTGGGCTGGAGAGGACCTGGGTCACAGCCAGCGCTGCCAGGGCCAGCCCGCTCGCCGAGGAGGAGGATGGAGAGGGGAGGGCTGGGAGGGATTTCTCACTGATGATATTGTTACATTCTTTCCGAATCCTGGGAGTAAACAGACGCTCCAAATTTAGAAAGAACAGGACTGGAAAATTTAAATATTCCTTAAAGAATTGGTACAAAAGCAGGGAGGGGGGGAAGGGGGGGGCGGCTGAAGATGATCTCACACGCGCTCCCGAGCCAGATGAAAAGCTCATGACTTGAGTTCAGAAAGCAAGCGAGGGGCCTGTTTCAGGTCGGAGCATGATATCGCAACAATAAAGCTCCCCCGGAGCATGAAACCGCAATGAAAAGAGCCTCTGCCATGCGTGCGGGGGGGTCCCAACCCCAGCGGTCAGGGCTGCGGGGACCACTGCTGCTGGCCACACTGCCACCCCAGTTTCATCTCTGGCTGGCGTACGGCTTCGGCAGCAGGAGAGAGGAGCCCGGCACTCGGCTCAAGGACCAGGAGTAGGGACAGGATGGATACCTGAGGATCATTTGGACAAGCATCCCAAGCCCTCGGCTGTCGCTTTTAGCTGCTGAACAGGAGGAAAGGAAGATATCCCCATCCTCCGCTGCAGCTGGACAAATGAAGCGGAGCTGGTGAAGCTCAGCACCCAGCAGCTCAGCACCCAGCAGCTCAGCACCACGCTACGGCTCTGGCCAGGCTACAATACAAGAGCTGGCACGCAGGAGCCATCAGGGAGCGATGGAGCCAGACCGCTGCTGCTGGTTCATAAACAGATAATGGCTGTTAATAAAAACTAAGTGGGAGTTTGCAAAGGGGAAAAAGAAGGGGGGAGGGGGGGCGAACCAAAGTGGGAAAAAAAAGCGGGGGGGAAAAAAAGCAGGGGACAAAAAAAAAGCAAAAAAGCGAGGGTTTGTGCTGAAGTAAACAAAGGTTAAAGAACAGTCAGGCTCCTGCAGGAATAGCAAAGCTGGGCCGGGAGGGAGGGAGGGGGCATTACGTAATGCAGGAAAAATGTTGGCTCCATTCAGTTTTCCACCACTTCATGTGATGTCAGGAAAACCATATAAATCAACAGGCTTTCTGCTCCCACGGATGGAGGGCAGCAAGCAGCACTATTTATACTTACACAATTAAAAAAAAAAAAAAAGGGAAAAAAGAAGACAAGCTGATGATTTCCAAGACTGGGAATAATTGACTCAGATTCCTCCTTCCCAGCCCCACTGGAATCGCTGCTTCTGGGCTGTTAACCCTTGAAGGGTCCTCACTATCGCTCTTGCCACCCCCAGCTCATCAGCCTCCACCAACTGCTTCAAGGGACTGAAGGACGATGGGCTGGAGGCAAGCAAGAATGGCCAAGCACAGCACTTGGACAAGATGGGAACACTGAGGCATGGATGTTTGTCAACCCTGGAGAAACATCTGCTGGGGCTGAGGAGAGTTGAGGAACACGGAGGGGCTCAGGAGGGGCTGGCACATGGGTTTGGGGACCCTCAGGACAGGGTTCCCTGGGGCACTGGCATCCACTTAGGGACAGGCTGAGATATCAGGGCAGGACCTTGAAATTTTGGCAGCCCTTGCCAGCCCAACTCCCCACTGGGGTCACAAGCCACCTCTACAGGGAGGACCCTGGCACCTCTTCTGGGACACAGAATGGGCTGGGTCAGGACGAGGTGCCTAAGCCCAGAGAAGACAGACCGAGGGGTTAAACCCTACCAGGGCGAGGGGTCAGAATCAGGCCCAGCCTGCACATTCCCCCTCAGACCTCCCGAGAACTGCCTCTAAAGCAACCCAGCTGCTGCCGACACCGCAGGCAGGAGGAAGCTGCGCGTGTCGGCGAGTGTGCCCAGCCTCCCCCGGATGCTCTCTGCAGCCGCTTCCCGTCACGATTTCCATGTAAAATGCTGCCGCCATGACCCAGTGTTCTACATTTCGGTTCCCGTTTTTTCCACCCGCTGGCAGCCCGTGTTCCCCATCAGGCTGCGGCCCTGCAGCGCTTTTAATTGGGGAGGTTTAAGCTTTGCTTGGCGCCTAGCACAGCCGCACCCCTGCTTGGGGGTCTGGGGTCCTGCAGCCCAAGGAGATGGAAATGGCCACCCTGAAGATGGAGGATGTGTGCGCCCAAGCGAGGTGCAGGTTTGCTCGTGGGGGGCTCAGCAGTAAAGTGTGGCGGGGGGGGGGGGTGGCACGCTGCCATCGCTCACCCAGCATGGGGTGTGCTGTGCATGTGGCTGGGGTGCACTGGTACTATGGGGGTCCCCCCGCAAGCCTCCCTCCCTTTCCCAGGGAGAAGAAGGCCCTGAGGTTTTAGAGGCCACCTCACCCAGCCCCGTCCCTGCTCCAGGAGGACTCGGGGGAGTGTGGGGGTTTGCAGACAGCGCACAGCCCTGGGAAAGCGACAAGGCGGGTTGGGGGGTGCCAAGGTCATGCTGCGAAGGCTGTTTCCTGACCCTTCCCGGTGACTAAGCAGGTTCCTTCCCAGATGCGACTGAATCCGCCTTCTCCTTCTCCTGCACCGTGCGCCAAGCCATGCCCTTGTTTATGCCGCGATGACCTTGGAGCCACAGGCACGGCTGCTGGGGCAAGCCGGCGGTGGCTGTAGCAAGCTCATGGCTGCATCCTCCAGCTTTGGCCCCAGCAGAGCTCCTGCAACCTGGGCCACGTTGATCAGCTTTAATGTGATTTTGTGTAGTCGCTGCTTGCTTTTGAAAGCCTCAAACCGGGGAGTTTATTCCCGCTATTTCTCCGCTCTGTTCTCCCCATCACAACGCAGCTTCTCCAATTCAACAGCACTCACCCATGTCTTGCACGGGCAAGGCTCCCTGAATGCCACTTGCTTGTGCCACCTTCCCCTTCACAACTAACCCTTCCTAGGGTCTGTCACATTGCTGGGTTTGCTGGGACGGCTACTCCCTCCATTCCTGTGATGCCTCAGGGACAGATGGCGGTAACCTCTGCCTCAGCCCCAAAGCAGTACACAATCGCCACAGGATGAGGACAGGCTTGGGGAACAGAGATGAACCCAATCTGTGTGCTTTTGGCATTATCTAGGAGCCTGGCTGAGCTCAACGGGACTGAGGGGCTGCATGGGGCAGTGCTTGCCCACCCCTCCATGGGCAGAAAGCTCGGAGGTGGGCAGCCAGGCAAGCAGACGCCCGGCCATCTCAGCCATGGGGAATTAAAGGCAGCTTCAGCTCTCCCTTCAGCAGCTTGCTGCCTCCTTCTCCTCCTCTCTGCTGGGTTGGAGCGTTTCATTCATCGGTTGCCTGTCTCCCATTTTGCTCTGCAGAAGAGCTGTCATCAGGGCAGTGCATGCCTCCTCCTGCCTGCACGCTCGTGCCCAGAGAACATCATCGCCAGCAGACCCTGACTCACCCAGTGATGACCCTCTGCCCCTGCCCTCCTTCCCCTTTTCCTTCCCAGCACATCCATGGATTTCCTCTCCTGCCCTCCTTTCAACAGCAGTGAGAGGGAGCAGAGTGCCCGAACCGGGTCTGGCTCTTGGCACATTCACCGGGGATGAAGCAGCGCAGGGATGGGAGAACGAAGGGCACTTTTTGGGTGGCTGGATCCATGCCACTGCGACCCCTCCATACCTTCCTCTCTCATTCACCCTGGCTGGTGGGTGCAGCGTCGGGAATCTGGACAGTGCAAGATATGAATGCACGGGGATGACCCAGCAATGCCAGCAAGGGTCGAGTCTCCTTGGTCCACATGCGGGACTGTCCTCCACCACCACAGCCACCAGTGGCAGGGAAAGCGGGTGCAGATGGACACATGCGGCTACAGCTCCACAACTCCAGACTAAGGGCACAAGCGCCGGGTGAAGTGGTAACCCAGGGCTCCTACCTGTAAGGATGGAGACACTGTGGAAACAGCTGTCCAGCTTGCCCAGGAGGATGGAGAGGAAGCTGTCGGCAGCCAAGCCGGTCACGTCCCGTGTGCTCTGGTCGTAGACCACCACGTCCTGGTGCTCCTCCGCCTCCACCTGCAGGGGAACGGTGAAAACCAGGTGTCAGAGAAATAGGCTGAGCGCTGAGGATGCTGCTGTCCTCACCACCATGGGAAGCAAAGCTGAATTTAGCAGTGACACAAGTAGGAGACCCCAGCTCCATGTTGTTCCCACGAGCTGGCTTCGCTCACCAAATGAAGGGCCCAGCAGGGCTTGGGACTCTGCTCCATGGCTACATGCAAATGTGTCAGTACAGATGCCCACAGCAGCCCCACCAACTGTGAGTGCTTTTGAGCATCCTGCCCAAAATAGGGTCACTCCTCCCCATTGCCCACCCTCCACTTGCCATTATTTAACCCCATCCCAGAAGTTGCCGCGACTTCTTCCACCACCTCGTCCCCACCCAACCTTTGCCTTCAGCCTGGCTGGTGTCACGGGGATTTGGGGGTGGTTCTGCAGGCAGGGGTGCTCCCAGCACAGCCCTTGTGCTCCAGCTGGAGCGAGTGGGGCTGGAGCGTGGCAGGTCCTCAGGGCTCAGCCAGGAGACGCTGTGCCCAGCACAGTAACACCTCTGTAGGCACTACCTCTCTGGAAGCTCAACCCAAACCTGCAGATCACCCCCGAAGACTGAAGGAGAGGGAAAATCTCTTCTTTAGCTCAGTGGATGTTCAGGGGGATGGTCTTTCTTCTCTTTAATGCATGGTGGGGTTTGCACACAGCTGAGATATGCTGGGACAGAGAGAAAGCAGCTCCTGGGCTGCTCTCATGTGACTTTGCATGCCACAAAGAGCCCTGCTGCCACTGCTGGGTGGTGGGCAGGTGAAATGGTGGGGTACCCGGCAGCCAGGCAGCTGTCTGCAGGCAGGAGTCCCCCCACGCCTGGATTGCAGCGAAAGCATTCAAGGCACAGCTGGCCGGTCGTTCCTACGTCTACCTGAAGGTCCGTGCATGAAAAGAAGATAAAGATCCTTGCAGAGGCATGGCTCAGCGCATTCACTGAATAGCCTGATGGATGGCATACGCTTGCCTTGTGAACGCCTGCCCTCCCAGCCAGCGGGGTAAGGCACATCCATCACGCTGCAGGAGGAGGAGGAGGCAGCAGGGAGTCTGTGCCCCTGAGCCGCTCTCTCCTCCGGCTTATGTTGGAGTTGCCCATTTCCCATCCCCTGTCCATCCCTCTCCAAAATCCCTTTAGGAGACCACTTGAACTAGGAACCACTCAGGGACACCCGCCTCCTTTTGCTGTCTCACTGCCATGCGCTACCTTATCACCCGAGCAGATTCGCTCGGGGTTGCTGTCGATATTAATGCTGCTTTCACACCCTGCTGCAGGTGCTTCCCTGCTCGGCAACGTGAGTGCCATCCAAATAAAACTGCAGGGCGCACCAATTTAGCTGAGCTCATCACATCTCCTCGCCGCAGTGGAAGGACAGCCCCGCACCAACAGAAATCCTTAAATCCCTGCCCGGCCACCGCTCATGGCTCTGCAATAGGAATAGGGGAGCTCAAAGAAGCCAACTGTCCCCAGCCCGGCACCGGCCACTGGAGAGCAAAACTAGCCCCGCAGGTCTGCAGGATGACAGGAGGGATGAAAAGGCAGCGGCAGGATGAGAGGGAAGAGAAAAGGATGCCCGAATTTTAAAATAAGACACTGAAAAATGACCAAAGCCACCTGGGGATAAGACAGCTGAGGACATACCCCAGCATCTCTTCCTCAGCCATTCCAAGTGCAGCTGGAGGGAAACAGGGCAGCTGCCAAGCCAGCTCAGAGCCGGGAGCCTACCAGTCCTTAGCAGGGCCACTATCCCTTCAAGCCCCCCTAGCACGCCCTTAGCACAACCCGAAAACCCAGTCCCCTGACTGAAACCCCATGCCAGCAAAAGCGTCTCCCCTAAAAGCATGGTGAGGCAAAGACTGAGCTGTGGTGGAGCGGGTGCTCATCCTGGCTGCGCAGTCCTGGCCAGGGTGGCTGCAGGGGAGATACCAGCTCTGGCTGAGCAGAATTATCCCACAATAGGATTTAGTGTTCCCTCCGCACGGGAAGGCTTTGTTTGGGCCATTACTGCAGGGTTGCTGAGCGACGGCAGAGATGTGCGACACGGTTTACATCTTATTAAAGTTATAATGTTTCACTCAATGTAAATGCCAAACAAGCGCTGGCCTCGCATGGCCCGGCTGCAGAAAATAAATACCATGCTTTCTGGGGTGAGGGTGCCTGCAGGATGGCCCCGAGGAGCCCTCGTGGAGCACACAAGGAGCCTGCACTGGCACCCCGGCTCCTCACCACAAAGGGAAATGAGAGGGAGATGATTAATCAGGTCCGTGGGTCTCCCATTAACCTCACGCACTCCTGATACATAGGGAAGGCACTGCCCCATCTCTGGCCTTAAACATACGGAGGTTAAAAGCTAACCAGGACAGAGGAGGAAGGTAAAGATAAAGAGATGCTCAGGGATGCCTGGCTCTGCCAGGGACTGGCATACGGGAGGGGCACGGCTGACAACAGAGGAGTTCCTCTGAGGTGCAGCACCTCCACGGTGAGAGCTTTCCCATGGAGGTTGCCCATCACCCCAAGAAGTAACCAAACCCCCAGGCATCGCCCTCCAGAAAGGGTCCCCAAATCCAGCCAGCAAGGGACAGTGAGGCCAAGGCACAACAAGTCTTTTGGCCCCAAGTAGATGTTGAGCGGGGTTTGCAAACCCGTGCATGCCTTTGAAAAGCTGTTGGTCCCAGGGCACCTCCCCGGGGACAAATCTCCCCCCTGCCAGCATGTCAGCTAGGGGGGATGGCCAGCCAGGAGCAGGGACCACCCGGCCAACAGCTCCAACCAACCCTCAGCTGAGACCATCCATCGCCTTTGCGCCAAGCCCAGCGCTCCCCACCACCCTCCCCAGCTGTGGCTGGAGGTAACTCCCTTATGGACATTTGGTCCAGGGCACTGGGTGGTTCAACGCAGTCTGGGTCCCTGCTCCACCTCTCCCCAGCTGCCAAGCAGAGATGATGATGCTCTACAGGTGATCCGGGCTCAGATAAGAGTGAGCTATTCTTATTATCCCAATTACTACCGACTTCTCAGTCACATATTGTTTCAAAACACTGTGAATCACCCCACTGAAATAACAGGGCTTCCATCAACATAAAGAGCAGCCAGGCACATGGCTCAAAACTAAGCCCCGGCTTTCCCTCAAGCAAAACAGCTGCTTGCAGGGCCATGCTCCTAACGCAAATAAATAAATATTCCCATCGCCCGAAGAGACCCTTGTCATGCCTCAAACCACGGCTATAGCCGCTCCGGAGATAGCTAGATTTCAGGAAGTGAGAAGAGGTCGAGAGGTGGAAAGACTTTCCAGGGGGATCTTGAAGAAGTGAAATTTTCAACAGTTCCCCCAAGAAATGCTAGTAAAAACCCAAGCAGGAATTTCCCATAACCTCTGCCCCTGAAACTACACCAAGGAGTTGAATTATTCCAGTTGTTATTGGAATTTATTATGGGGAGAATTTATTATTGTTAGTATTGGGAGAAGGGTTCAAAACCAAAACCAGAGCACTACACTGGTACCATTTTTGTGCAGAGGGATACTATTGCTAATTGGGAAATGAATTACTGCTGCAGCTTCCCAGCCGGGCACCATGGAAAGATACACACGCCCAGTGGGATGCGGTGCACAATGGGGGTCAGAGAGCGGTGGCTTAGCTATGCCCACAATTGCAGACATATTTCATTGAAAAAAAACAAAGGGATTTTTCTTTTCCCCATTTCTTTTTTCCCACCAAATGGTCCTTTCCTTTCCTTGCACCAATAAAGCCAGGAGCTGCTGTTATCCCACGCCATTGCTTCAAACAGCAGCATCCAGAAGCAGCATTAATGGTACCCTTCCTTAACAGTGGTATGGAAAAGAGGGGTGTGAGCACTGGGAAAAGCAAGTTAGACAAATGCTCTCATTCCCGCTGCCTGCGCGCACGCAGGAGTGGACGGGAGAGCCCAAAAGCTCTCCCAAAACCCCAAAAGAGGTGTTGCCCAAAAGCTTTGCTCTATATGAACCCCTGCATCCTTCCCCAAAAGGCAATCGTCACCTGGGCCATCACCGCGCCAGGATGCGCAGGTCGAGCTCTCTTTGCACTGGGCAGGCGAGGAGGAGCAGGACAAGGTGGGGGCACAGGGCTGCTCTTTCCC